CAAAATGAAAAAGAAATTTATGGGTACTTTTATAATATGAAGTAAAATACACTGCAAAATTCAATTAATTGTAAATGAGGGCTATGCCAGTTTTAAGCGCATCAAGCAACTGCTCTGAAGTTCAAAATTAGATTTATTATTATTATTATTATTATTAATTATGCTCTAACAAAACAGTTTTAGGTATATAAGCTGTGGTTGTTGTAAGGATTATTAATTTAATTTTAGGAAGTTAACTTTAAAATATAATATATATTATGATGTTTGAGTACAAGTACGTTTGATTATGATAATTTTTTCTACTCTTCTTTTGATAGGTGATATGTACGTTTTTATTTCTCTATAGATCCATCGATTATCTTACTGTTTTCTTTCGAGCTGGGCAAAATCATAAGGATTGTGTGTTCGGTCTGAGAGAATTGTGATTAATATGAAATTTGTGAATTAGTGGCGTCTATGGATAAAACAACAGCAAGGGGTGACAAATTACAATGCAAAGGAGGCTAGAAGCCAAAGAGAATGATGTATTGGTAATAAGGAGGTTAAGGTTTCAAAAGTGGAAACATGTGAGGTTTAATCATTTATTTATGGGAAAAATATATATCATTTTAAAGAATATAAAATTGTGTCATTTTAAGTGAGAGAAATATATAAATCATGAAAGAGAAAGTGAAGGAAAAAAAGTTTTAAAAATATATATCTTACCTCTTTATGAAAATGAAAGGATTTTCCTTTATTTATAGAGAGAATATACCCATACTTAAGGAGTTTGATTATTTGAGTGAGATTCAAACTCTAAATTGGATAAGACCCAAATTTAATAAGACTTTCTCTGCTAATATTTTAGCACAGCTTCGTATCCAAAACTCAAACTCGTGACAAAATTCCTCTCTATCAGTTGATCCATATCCCTGTGGTATGAATCACATATAAGTTACACATGCAATTATGTAACTTGTTCGTTGAAATGATGTTAACTTTTCCCCCTCTTAACTTTACCGTACCAAAAGAAATATAAAATAAAATTAAATAAAAGATGTAACCTTCAAATGTCAAAAATTAAGAACAGTTTTCCCTGTAATTTGGCACCGAGTTTTTCCCCCCCTAAACTCAGCAAAATCTTGTTCCAAGAGATTTCAGTTCTGATCACGCACAAGAATTTGCTGTGCAAATATGAAACAATGAAACATATTGGTCCTGTGTTACGACTTGGAGTTTAACTATGCAACTATGTTGGTCTGTGACTATGCTAAGGAATCTGCTTGATAACAATCTATGAGCAAGTAATCAACAATAATGGAAGCCAAACAGTGAAGCTTTCTTTAAGAGGTTCGCGAATTCAACTCAATTATTGCGAATAACAAACAGTATACACCATGTCAGAAAGACATAGATTTTAGTGGCATATCTTGGCATATCTTTATAGAAATGAATATATGTGAATCCTTAAAATGCGCCCGACAAAAAGAAGGAAAGGCGAAGGTGAAGAACCTAATTGAGTATGCGCCTAGCTGCCATCTCATAAAATAGTAAAAATCGTTCTTTTTTCTTCTGTAATGTTTATTTAGATTTCCATCATGAGTCCTTGTTTTGGATGCAGTAATAAGAACTATGCCTTCACGTTTTGCATAGTACATATGTAAATGTTGGTATGGTTAAATACTTCGTATGACCTTTGTTGTCGTTGTTAGGGTCAACAGAAAGGCAACTAGGGTAATTTTTGTTAGGGCAAAGTACTGTTGTGCGCCTTTGATTTATTATAATTTTTTTTATTTTTCTTAGTAGTTTGGACTTACACCCATGAATAGCTACTGGTAGAGTTTTCTAATTCTATTTATATTCTCTTTCTAAATCGAGTGAATTGTAATAAGTAGCAGTGAGATGAATATATTATAAACAAGCTGAATGTAACCTGTATTGGGTGAAACAGGATAAATCACTGTGTCAATCTTTCTTCCCTTTTCTCTTTTCTATTTTATCGATTTGTGTAAATTGTCAATTTCTAACATTAGAATGTTATAATTATAGGGCTTTGCAACTCTCATGTGACTGTAAAATTTTAGAGTTTGCAACTGCCACGAAAACATGGTGAGCCCCCCCTTTTTAAAAAAATAAAATAAAAATAAAAATAAATAAAAAATGTTGGTGAGTGTGTGGCAGGAGCCAGGAGGAAATCACTTATGCAGTTACAGCAAAAGTGATTTCCCCATAATTATATCATATTATTGTATATACGTATTCATTCAATGTGAGGTAAGTCCGTAAGTACTTCTATCTATGAACAATATTGTCTATTTTTTATTTTTAATGATTTTACATACTAACAGAACGTATTCAATCTTTTAAGTTTGAACAATTATGAAAAATATCCGAATTATAAACCTGTGGTTAAATTAGTAATTTGTTATTGTGATTTTATGTATTTTATTGTGAAGGGGAGTCATAATATAATGGTTAGAGTTGTTGTGTGATTTACAAATGTAAGGTTAGGTTGCCTTCTAAAGATTTACCCAGTGAGTTTGACCCTTCCTACGCATAGCAAGAGTTTTAGGGCAGTTACTTTTTTCTCTTTTGAATTTTTTTTTTTTTTTTTTTTTTGTAATAACTCTTTTGAAATTTTAGTTCTTATAGCTTTTATCTATCAAAGTTTCGATGTTCTTATTTTTTTTTTCTTAAATTTTAATCCTTATAATGTATCTCATTTAGTGTTGGTCCTAATTCAGGGTTAGTCCCTATAATTTCTATTTATTAAGTTTTCTTTTTTTAAAAAAAAAAAATTTCCATCGGTTCATCGATTAATTTAATCGAGTCATGTAGCACCACAAGGACAACAAAGCTCTCTCTATCAAGTTTTTAACACAACTGTGTACTCATGGCTCAAACTCGAGACCACTGATTAAACTGGAGCAACCCCTTACTGGTTGATTCACGTACTTAGTGGTTTAAAAAATTGTTTCTAAGAACCCAAAACCCACATAAATGAAAACATAGACAATAATACCAAAATAATAATAATAAAAAAAAATTATAGAGATCAAAACCGAAAAATGTAAAATAATTATAAGTATTAAAAGTTGGAAAAAGTATTTCTCCAGTCACTGAAAATAAAGTTATCTCCAGTGAGCTCAAAACGACGTCGTTTTGGGGTTACAAGATTAAAAAATAATAACTAAAATAACCCTGCAATATATTATAATTATAAAAACACATTGATTTCCGTTCCAAAACGATTTCGTTTTGGGCTCACTGGAGATAACTTGTCTCCATTGACTGGAGAAATCTTTTACCCTCAAAAGTTATTTAAATTTAATTCGATATAAATGAAATATGAATTATTTTAGTAATATAATCTTTTTCTTAGATATAATATGTAAATACTATTTGGTGACAAAGAAGACTACCTAACATGTATAAAAAAAAAGTAAAAGAAAAAGAAAAGAGATACCTAATTTAACTTAAAACATTTGTTAGGTATTTAAATTGGAATTTTGATTGTACCCTTTCATACACTACCCATATATGCAGGATTGAGATCCTTTGCAGTTTTTAAAAACTGCATACAATCTCAACTATGAAAAATATTTTATCAGAGTAAAAAACAAAAACAAAAAAGTTGTAAGCATTACTCGTTAAAATTGGATGATGGGATTGAAAACTGTACCTCATGCAGTTTCTTCACGAACTTCAGAGGATCCAAGTCAATATATGCAAGATATTTGGGACTGAAATTTACATCGAAATCCAACACTTTTTAGAACTGAAAAGGTTACATCACTTTATTTGGTAAACAAAGGAATTGATACAAAAGGAAAATTAAATTTGTTTTTTAAAGTAAAAAATGTCCTTAAAATTAATTATCCTCTCAACAAATTTGTTATACGTGACAATAAGAATTTAAAATTTTATATATTCATTTTAAACCTACTCATATATATATGTGTGTGTTTCTTTCTAATTGTATAATTTTTTTATTACAAAATATTAGTAGAGGGAACAAGCTATCCATCTCAATGCTAGGGCAATACAAAAGCCTCATCTTAGACTTTTTCTCAATGTTATTTGGCTCACTTTCTTTTCTCCGCCATCTTATTTATAAATTGGGTAGATCAATTTATATGGTTATAATAATAAAAGCCTTACACTCAATTTTAATAATTGAATTATTTATATCTAATAATCATATATTTAATATAAAAGAGCCTGTATATATAAATAAAACCAACTGCTAAGATTGAGAATATAAATATTTTACATACTAATATAAAATAATCATACCCCAAATAAATATTTACAAAGAACTCCTTAAATTAATGGTTCAATACATAAACCGTTGGAAAATGTGAGGTAAAACCTGTTTTGCATTCAACTACCACAAAGATGATAGATATAAAAACAAATTTTTTGTGCAATTTATATCGGAGAATATATAGTTATAATATTAAAATTATTTTTTCTCTTTTTGTATCGGCCAACAAATTTCAGAAGAAAAAAAAATAACTTTAATATTATAACTATATATTTTTTAAAATACATAATTATAATATCACGGTTGAACAACTGAGTGTTGCACTAAAAATTTATTTATTACGTAGCTACAGGATATCAAAGAATATATTAGACTAGTAAGTGGGACAGATTATTACAGTTAACTTTGGCTGTACATGCCTTGTACAGTGTTCGATATTATTATAAAGGTTGTGTCATAGTCATTCTTTTTCACCTTGTAGCCCATTTATTAATTGCACTTTGTCTTTTGCTTTCTTTTCCATTCTCTCACTGTGAAAATGCTCTTTTCCTGCCTAAACTCTAGTGTTACGTATCTCCTGTCATTATATTTGCGGGTTTTTCTCATCTTGTCCTGCAACTAACTAGGGTTTTTCTCCCTGAGCTCTCACATCCAATAGTAAATTCCGAAGACTTCTCTCCGGGTGGTCGTAGACTTCCTTATCACTGCCATTATTAAAGAATAGATCTTGAAATTAAAGAGCCTTCTACAATAGAGAAAAGAAAAAAAGGTAATCCATCTATAGTACATCGTTTGTTCAATTAAACCTAACTTTACAAGGTATAGTCTTTATTCCAATTATATATTTATATATTTTCTTGTTTTGGATTGGTGTTTGCTTGATAAATTTATGTTCTATGGTTTGATTCAGGTTTTTGTTTTTGGAAATTTTTGGAAGGAATGAAATTCTGGGTGAATGATGTATCGTCCAAGTAAAAGAGTTGAAAATTGAGAAACTTCCACATGTTCTGTCCACTAAACTGAAAAGATCCCTGGTAGGTGTACCTTTTCTTTTATACCTAGGGTCGGTACAGGAGGAGATGAAGAGAGACAGAAAGAGAGATTTAGGGAAGAACTTCAGAGTTTGATATGAAGAAATCAAACATATATTTATAGCACAATAAAATGTCATTTCACATATTGAATATTTATTATATTTATTTAAATTAATCTCCTTCCTTGTCCTACAGCGGAAAATTGAGAAAGAGTTCTGGGTAGTAGTTAGAAAATATGTGCATAGTGGCTTTTCTTTTTTCCCTTCTTTAATTGAATATTCAAATAGTGGCACTCTGATTCTATATAAAGTAAAAGAAGTTTGAACAGTAGCGGAAAATGTTGTTACCAACAAAGAAAGTAGAAGGGAAGTGTTTTAAGCAAGTAAAGTCTCCCTAACCCTAGTTTTATACATGTTCATGTAAATCTAGCTAGAGATTAAATTCAGATTGGAGGACCACTATATATATATGCAATTTAATAAGCCAACATTAGTTTTAAATAATTTTCATGAAATGGATGTACAAGGTTGTTGATGATTTTTCTTTATAGTTTGAGGTATTAATTATATGTATTTTCCCAGTTTGATATTATATTTATGAGGTGGATATGGATATATATATATTTATAGGATAAAGTCTTTTCACAAGATTCAAAATATGATAAATTATATAAGTTCCAAAGTTTTAGAGTTTGTAATTAAATGGTTTACTGTGTTTGATTCTTGGTTGCAGTGAAGATAATGGCCTCTTCTAGCTACTCTAATTCTCCCTGTGCTGCCTGCAAGTTTTTGAGAAGGAAATGTATGCCAGATTGCATTTTTGCCCCATATTTTCCACCAGAAGAACCACAAAAGTTTGCCAATGTTCACAAGATATTTGGTGCAAGCAACGTGAGTAAACTTCTCAATGAAGTCCAACCCCATCAAAGAGAGGATGCAGTGAACTCTTTAGCCTATGAAGCCGAGGCACGGATAAAAGATCCAGTTTATGGTTGTGTTGGGGCCATTTCAGTGCTCCAAAGGCAAGTGATTAGGCTCCAAAAGGAACTTGATGCCACAAATGCTGATTTGATTCGCTATACTTGCAATGAAATACCAAATCAAGATGGTAGAAGGATGGGAGAAGGAGGTGGTTCCTCTCTTGGTCAATCTCCTGGTTTTTATTATCCTTCTCCTTGGAACAATGATCCTTCTGGGGATGGTTATCAAAGAGGAGGTGACAACAATATGTGATTGTCAACCTTCTTGGTCCATCTATTATGAAAGTTCTATTAATTTACAACACATCCCTTTAGGGTTTCTTATTGTATAGTATTTAATTGGATTAAGGGGTGAGCATGTATACATAAATATTTATATGTGATACTCAAGGTATATGAATATAATATTTGTATGTTATATAGTCAGAGTTGCTTTAATACTTCATAAAATGTCTCTCATAGTTAATGTAACTGAACTTCTCTTGGCAAACTGAGAGATGAAAAACTCGAACCGTTTTAAAACTCATGTTGTATCAAAGAAAGCGAAAGTCGACTACTATAGGCTCTTGTTTTTCTTAAACATAATAATAATCTTACACTTATTTTTCAATATAAATAATTGACATTGCACATGTCGACACAAACACACAATAAATTATTTTTACATTGAATCAATCTCTATACAAATATTATAAAATTTATATGTTCAAGTTAACATATTAAATAGTAACAAGATAAGTCCCGAGACAAAAAAAATACACGATAAAAATGGTTTACTATACTTTCAAACGTATACTCAGTTTTGAGGCCACTATACTCCCACAATAATTTCTCTTAACCTTTGAGAAACCAAAATAATATATCCGAATGGCCCCACGTAACGCAGTCCAAACCGACTGCCATATTAAATTGTGAGAATTTGTTAGCTAAACAGAATCTTATTGGTCTATTTTCAAACAAAAAGGAAAATTATTCATATTTTCAATTAATAACAAAAAAAGTACTAGTTGGAACCTACCTTTTCAAGCATGAACTCCCTTTTCCATGTACTGAATTAGATATTACAATTTCTTAGTGAATAAGAACTAAGAAGGTGGTGATCTAAAAATGTACTTCACAAGAAATCTTGCTCCACAAACATGTTGTGGTATCTTCAACTATATATATATACCAATATGTGAACTAGATTTGTATCCCTTGATGGATGTAGTTATTCAAGTATACCAATATGGAGGTGCTCTCGGAGGTAGTGGTATGGACCAAAACTTAATGTATGAGTTCAGAGTGGCTCTATATTTTAGTAGAGTAATAAATGCAATATCTCTTCAAGGGGTGAAGTGGGGTATATATAAATGAGAAATATTCTTTAATGATGAAAGATAACAAGAGTTATAATTGTTTTGGCCGTTATCTCGTTATTGTGAGTGAGGTAGCACACCTCGGTATATGATAGCTAGTGAGTTATATAGGAGAGTAAGATATATTCTACTATGAGGTCTATGATTCTCACTATAGGGAAGCTGTTCAAAATTCTCCAACATCCTTTACTGCTAGGGAGTAACCTCTTAACTGGGTGTCTAAGAGTCTTAATATGAACAAATGAAAGACAGTATGGCACCATGGCATTTTTTCAGCGCTTTCCTTTATAAAATTCTCCAACATCCTTTACTGCTACTTTCTTCTACGTACTGTACATGTGCGGGTCAAAGGAAGACTGGAACTGTTAATTTGTTGACTTGCATTGCATATTTACTTTTCAAAATTATCAAAAAAGAATATATTATTTGTGATGTTTCCGCGATTGCATTCCCATGTCCTCTCTTCATTACAACATTATCATTATCGTTATCAACTATCAACTATAAGTGGTACTGGTACACATGCCTAGAGATAGAGGAACACGGAAGAGATTGTTCTGTTCACTAGCATGTGATAAAGGTACATTGAACCTTTTTAGACAAGTAAGGTGCATGGTGCGGATATAACGGGGCATTTTTTTCTCGCCCATCTCTCACGCTAAGCCATGTGGGTTTTTTTTAGTTATTGCTCAGTACTCTTGATGACACAATAAGCTCTTTTTTGCATCTGCTACCTAAACTATGTGCCTGTTTGGATATTTATTTATTTTTAGTTTTTATATAAGTAGAAATTAAGTTAAACAGGTTTTTACAAAAGATCTTATAATAAAAAGAGTATTTTTTTTATAATGAAGAAAAAGCCAAAAGTTCATAGGAGGAGGCTTTTTTTAAGCTCTTATTAGATTTTCTTGAAATGAAATTTGACCTTTTAATTTAAAATCTTTGTGTAATTACTAAATAATTTTTACTTTTTTTTAAGCTCTTTTTTTAGCTTTAGCTTAAAAAGAGAGGATCTAAAAGAAGCTCTGTCACACAAGTGTGAATAATGTTCGGTGTACAATTGTTGCAGTTATACTTTGTAAAGAACCAATTCAACTCAAAATCTTAAACTATATTAGGTGAGGCTATAATAATAATTTTATATAATTCTAACACGCTCCCTCACACGAGAGGCCATTAGGCTTGAAGGGTGGACAATACATAGATGAATTAATTATTAATTGGGCGGTGAGGATCAAACTCATAACATGAGGCTCTAATACCATGTAAATAACCAATTCAACCCAAAAGTTTAAATTATTGGGTGAGACTATAATAATGATTTTATATTTCTCTAACATGCTTAAATCAAAATTATACGCATAACCCCACTCGAGTTCAAGTAGAATAACTAAGTTAGGATTTTTTGGTGGTTTTTTTTCTATTTTAGTTAAGTTGCTATAATGGCTTTTATATTGTTATGCTAATAATATATATTTTTGGTTGTCGTCAATTTGTTTGAATGAGTAAAAGCAACCTTTAGTGGTTAGGATTAATATATTCGTACATATAATCCTCTATGATTTTAGTAAAAGTAGATCATCAGTTATGAAAAGAAAGAATTTAAATGAGAAATCATTAGAGCATTATATGAAGTTAGGTAAAATTAAGTGTTGAACTTGGTTCACAAAAAAAAAAAAAAAAGTGTTGAACTTGTAATAATAGCATAAGCACGCATGTTCACCTATATACTATTAATTAGGTCAAGCAGTTAAATCTTATATCACATTTACTAATAGGAAAAACTCTTAGGATAAAAAATATTTCATTATGTTTCTTGCTAGCTAGGAGTGTTTTACACATAATAATGTCATCTTTATTTTTTCTTGAAAAAAGTATGACATAAAAACTTTTATTGTCAATTAAAGAGAAAGCGAAAAAATGCATACTCAAACCTTTTAGTTTTGCACATATCTCCAAAATGCATTGATTTAAATTAGGGAGCAAAGAAGAGAAAGATAAGCTTTATGCATGCCTGAGAATTCATCTTTGATAGATAGATGATGATAATTGTTTCTCTTCAACCCACAAGAACTATGATGACTTCGTGAACTTGTCTCGTTTATTTCCTTGGGCATAGAACTATGATGATTTTGTGCACCTGTCTGATTTATTTCCTTTGGGTATTCTTTCACATCAATATGATCTTTTTATTCTTTTTCTTCCACAGAAATATTTTAACAACAATTTCATCCAAGCTGTTTCTTAAGCATTTGCTGTTGGTTTGAATTCGGAAATTAAGGCATGTTTGAATTATGTTTTGAAAAATGGATTTTTGATTTGCAAAAATAATAATGATAATAATAACCGTTTGATAAGACCTGTTTCATAAAAATGGTTCTAAAAATTATAATTTTTTTTTAATTTTTAAAATTAAATTTAGAGAACATGTATCAGTTAATTAAATTTAGTGAACATGTATCAGTTGTTTTTGTTTTATGTTTTAACTTTTAAAATTTAAAACAAAAAATCACAGAAAATATTTGTTTCATTGACTATTCTATAAAACAGTTTTAAGAAAAAAAAATATAGAACACAGTCAAACAGACCCCAAATTATTTATCTTCCTTTCTTATCCCTCAAAATAAAAAATGACACTTTAATTGAACAGAATAACACTTTAATTCAAATAAATAACAATTGAAAAAATGTTGCTACTTAAAATAATTTTATTACAAAAATTTTATTTTTCAATCACAGACAATAAAAGTAAGAGGTAAATGGAAAATAATGGATACTCTCATGTATTATTTAACATGATCATGTTATATAAGACAATGTTAATCATGCACAAACAAATTAATGGTTCTTTTTGTTACTCCCATATTTTAAATCTTTCTTCATCTCTTATCATCATTAATTTATCTATAAATAATTAAATTCCCTCAAATGACCTCTCTATGAATCAGAGAGTTCTTTCATATTGATATTTGATAGCATCATGTTTTGGTTCTACTTTTTTTTAGATACCAACAGCTGTTCGAAGTTGTAATGAATCTAATTAATCCAATTTTGAGTTTGAGATTTTCTACCCTCTCCATAAATTGTGACTCTCAATAATCAAATCCACTACCCTTTGAAAAAATCAAATCCTAAAATCTAATCGGGTAGGGTTCTATTTCTATACACGTGCAATTGCATGTGACTTGGCAATTGATACTGGCCGGAGACGGGGGAATCGGAGTTTTTCTTTTCACTATCCATACGTGTAAAGTATTAAACTACACACAGGGAGAGATAATGGGGGTGGGGTAAAGAAAGGGAGGGCTATAGAGCTAGAAAATAGGCAACATTATTACATGGAAAAAATACAAAATGTTTCCCTTTGTCATGCAAAACCACCGCGCGTACTGGTCAATATTTACATAAAAGAATTATTTATGGGGTTGCATTTGTTATTTAACATGATACAATAAAGTTTTCTACGCATAGCATTTTGTGTGGCTCACACTTTTTGAAGAAAAAAAAACTACGGCACGTAAAACGAATTTCTATACCATTACACAATCATTTTTCCTACAACATAACTCTTACAAAACCCATCATTTATTTGGTAAAATAGTGCATTTATAGATTATTTAAAATAAATACAATAAAAGCTCTATTCAATACTTCATTGCTATTGTTCTGTCTTACAGACAGATAAATCCCGCTCAATGAACTAGTATGTTAATTTTGGATCTAGTATCCTCTTCAAGGTATCTATAGAAGAGATACACATGAGTCAAGCAGATCACTGTGCACAACGAACTAATAACGGCTTTTGCCAATGGGGGTGTGTGTGCGCACAGTGACAGCATAACAGTAAGAGAGAGAGCATAACGTACCTTTAGGGTTTATCTTTATTTATACAGGTTACATGTGAGTAACATGATGTGGGCCTTTAGTACTCTGGTGAGGGCCCTAGCTTGTATGCTACGCTGTCGTATTAGGATTAGTATCCTTGATGGATTATATCCGTAATTATCCTTGATTTGAATCTTGTATTGCCCCTTATTGGACTTGTCATTCCATGGGCCTCTTATACCGGTCCATAATAGCTATTTTAATATATATTTTCTAAAATATGATTCAAGGTTGAATATAAGAAAAAAATAATTTTTATAAATTATTTTAATTGAAAGTTTACATGACTTTCAACAAAAATGTTCTAAAAAATATTATAGTTCATTTAAAGAATGAGAAAGGATCCGTTTATAAATTTTTTTGACAAATTTTTACAAATTACACTATCTTCTCTTGGGAGAACATAGTGAAACCTAGTGTTCTCCCGGGAGAAGATAGTATAATTTATAAGAGTTTGTAAACAAAAAAATTTATAAATATAACCTACCCATAAAGAATTTAATAAATAAACTATCTGTACTGAATTTATTTTATTGAGAGACAAAGTGTGCGGAATCATGTCCATTCGCTTTCAAAATTAATGGGCCACCACTAACCGTCCAAGATCGCTTCTACCCCAAAAGTTATATCACCATGACTCGGTCTCTTTAGTTTGATTGATTGATGAGACAAAAGACATACCCAAAATTAAGGCCCAGTGAACTCAGACACATACCAGGTGAGGAAAAAAAGGTGTTGATTCCTGGGCCATTCATTTAATTCAATGAGAAATTCATTATACTTTTTTTTCTTTTAAAAAACAAAATTCTACTTCCAGGAAAAAAAAAAAAAAAACTACCATTAGATGTGCATAAGGAATAATACAAGAGTAAATATCCTTTTTAGCTCTCAAGCAAATTTTACGATGCCAGTTTTAGTCCCTAGCAAATAAAAAGTCTCATCGTGATCCCTAAAAAATTCAAAATGGATCTATTTTAGTCTTTTTGAGGACTAATATAGGTCTTTTTTGAATTTGTGAGAGACTTTGATGAGTTTTTTTATTTGTTAGGGACTAAAATGGACATCATGAAATTTGCTGAGGACTAAAAAGACTATTTACTCTATATACAAATTTTGAAAGCACGTGAATTTAATAATGTATTCCAGAGGAAGAAATTCCCAAAATATATAAGAATATTCTCATTAAAAATGCTAATTGCACACGGACTAGATCAGCATTTTTCCTTATTCTTTAGACATGCATGATTAGCTCATCATTTTTTATTTTTTATTTTTGATATATATGGAGGGTCAAAGCCCAGAAAACTAGAGAGTTCATCCACTGTCCTTAGAAAACAAATCCCCGAGTTCAATGGGAGGGTTATTTCAAACATGAAAACCAAAAGCATTTGTGACACCCTTGAGCACGTTGATTCTTGTACTTAGCAGATGATTGTTGCCAACCTTCTATTTCCTTCTTACGTCAATTCTTTATCCATGCCGTGACACAAGATTCCCTCGCGTTTGACGCATTGTCTCTCAGAATTAGTGGTGGAACGAGAGGGAGGCTGAAGAAATGATTGTTCCCTTCACTTTTTAAAATTAATTATTAGTGTTTTCTTTTTCTTTTTTTATCCTGGCGGATCAAAAAATTGATGTTGGATCTTGGGCTGACGTGTCTACGGAGAAGACAATAATTGGCAGCCGTAGATCAATATGCACAATGAAATAGCATACAGCCAAAGGGTGGTGGGTAGAGATGTAAATGAATTAGGCTGGTTTACAGGAGCTTACGATCTAGTCTATATTATGTCAGACCTGACTCATTATAAATAATAAATAGAACATGCCTAGGCTTTTAAAAAAATCTATTTAGAAATCAGGCCATAGATTTTTTTTTGTACATGTCGGGCCTATAAGCCTACAGACCGGCCTATATCATATTATTTATTTTAAATAAAATAAACAAAATTATTATTTTAATAATTTTGAATAATAAAGTAATATTATTTTAGATATTCTTTTAATTGTTGAATGTTTAATAGGCTTAAATAGGCTAACAAGCCTAGGTCAAGGCTTCTTAATATATAGAAAGGAGAACCAAACTTTGGAAACTTTGATGACATGTCACTTTCTCCTTAATTCTCAGCTTTGTGTTCACACTGGAGATAGTTTGAAAAGTTACTTCTTTTGGAAATGTTTTTTATTTCGTAAATAAAAAATTCTAAAAAGGAGGAAGAGTCTCTAAAATTATAAAATATTTGGCGGCAGACAATTGTATTAATGATCTTCTCAATTCAAAATTAAAATTTGAAATGGGTGGGAAAAATTTAAAATTTATACAATGATTTAAATGGAGGCAGCTTTATTGATTGCATAGGTAATTGTTATGTATAAAAACAAAATATTGTGCTGCAAATTGCCTTTTAGTCTGCATCACAGCTAGAAACTTTATTTTCAGCTTCTTTGGTCTGTTTCTCTTCTTCTTCTCTGATTGTATTCATTTTCTTTGGTCTGTTTCTCTTCTCCTCCTCTTATTATATCGTTCAACATAATGTATTCGAAGTACGATTTCATAAAGGATCTTAATCCTACAAAAGAAGACTGGAGGATTAAATTGCGCGTGGTTAGGTGTTGGAAGGTTCCCAGTCTTAATCCAAAAGATTTTGATGACAATGTTGACATGGTTTTGTTAGATGAACAAGTAATGTCGTTTTTTTATCGTCTTTTTTCTTTTCGGCAGCTGCATTGTCATTTTTTTGATTGATATAGTACATGTTTTCATTTTATAGGTTAGAAGGATCCATGCTACGGCGAAGGGTTCTTTGCATGTTCGAAAGAAAATTCGCGAGGGAGATGCTTATTTTATAAAAAAAATTTGGAGTTGGGTTGAATAGTGGTAATTTCAAGCCAACACGGCATGAATATCGTTTGGCTTTCAACTTGAGGACTGATGTGATATCCATTGTTGATGCAACTATTCCTGAGCACGGTTTTGATTTTGCTGAATTTGACGTTATTGAGAAAGAATCGTCTGACTCCCCGTATTTAATAGGTGATTGTTTTGGTCTATGGTGTTATTCGTTTTCATTTAAGATTTTTTTATATAGGACGTCATGCTGAATCCATGTTACTTATTCTGTAGACATTATTGGTTTGCTGTCTGGAATTGGGGAAGTCCGTGAACATGTCATCTCTGGTAGGATAACAAGAATGGTTGTTGTGGAGCTTGACAATCTGAGGTATTTATGTTATGCATATTTCTGATGTTTTTTTTTTTTAATTTCTTACGTGTTTTTCAATTTAATAACGTTGAAAGTTTGCATGATTTCTTATATATCTTTTGTTCCACTAACATAATAGGGGTCAGAAACTTGAGTGCACTTTGTGGGAGTCCTACGTAGATGAGGTCCAAACTTTCTTAGCAAATAATCAGAGTGCCCAAAATGTTATAATACTTCAGCTTGCAAGGGTAAAGGGATTTAGGGGTATTCTTTTTTTTTTAGTCTTGTATTTGTAAGAACCTGTACCGTTAATTAAGGAAAATAATTAATTAAATGCGTGAAATTAGGAAATAATTTCATAATTGACCTTAATAATTATGAGAAGGCTTAAATAAATATAGAAAGTGATTAAGAATGCTTAAAGTCGCTTTTCGGACGAAAAGTGCAGATACCGGTTCTGCTACTCAGTATAAATGTGTACCGATGAAGTATCCCGGAAAATTATAATAAGTGCATGAATATTCCTAGAATAATATGTAGGACTTGTAAAACGAGTTTCAAGTTAAAATAATGAGAACTGGTGCTAGAATCTGATAGTGGCTATGGACAGCGCGTACCGGAAAGGTGTTGCGAAAAATAAAATAAAAATATGATAAATCTTAGAAAAATGAGTAGGTTCAGAATCCTAAGTTTGGGATTAAAATGCTAAGCGTAGCAATTAGCGCTAACACTGTGCGATTAAAACTAATTAGACTATATATAGGTGTGCACAAGTTTCTAGGTCAGAAACTTGACATTCTCTACGTGAGAATTTGCTGAGTGTGAGCTACCACCTTCTTCCTTTGGCCTTCTTGCATGAAAACTCTCCCAAGTCACCTCATTTACCATGGATTCTTCTATTTAAACCTTGTAAACACTTAGAGGTGTGTGTTTGGAGGGTGAAAGCCTTCACCTTTCTGAGTTTGAGGTCTGTCTTGGTGAGACTTAGGGGCTGTGTTGCTGAGTTGTGAGGGTGGAGCCTTTGTGAAAGCATTTTGAGCTTCAAGAAGTTATCTTTGAAGGAAAGGAACCATTGTTGTGTGCCATTTTCGTGCATCTTCAAAGTCATAACCTTGGAGGTTGTTGGTGAGCTTCAAGAGCACTCCTTTCTCTGTTTTAAAGCTTGGGTAAGTGTTACCAGCCATTGGTCATGAGTTTTAATTGATAAAAGAGGTGTCTTGACATGCTTAATGGGTTAAACAAGTATTCAACCTGAACATGAACATAAAAGCCTTTAAAAATGCATGCTTGGACGTTGTAATGGGTTAAAAACCCAACCTTTAAGTGATATCTTCGCGAAAATGCAGAACTGCATTCTGTCGTGAAATATCCGGATATGATATCCGGATATGGGGTCTGGTGATATCCGAATATGGATATCCGGATATGTCCCCGACAAGTATCCGGATATTCTGGGAATTTTGGAACAGTGACGGTACTGTTCATACAGAATGTCATTTTGGGTTTGTGGACCCATGATTGACTTATATGGACTTCTGTAATAATTAAACTAAGTCAGAATCAAGGGATTAAGGGCTTATGGCTTTGTGAAGAGCCTAAAGACATGAAACGTAAGGAAAGGCGTTGTCTTTATGTCAAAGGTTTGTTGAGTGTGTATTTTGATATATTGTTGATCCGAAACAGATTGTGATTCTGTTGTGTTTGGGCTTTAAGCTTGTATGGACTCTTGGTTTGGATAGCTAGGTTACAAGGTAAGCTTTCGTGTCCTCGGTTTAGCCATTGTTGGTTCCACCATACCCCATAGGGGAATGGTTTATATGCATGCTGTGTTTTCATGCTTGATGATTTGAAATGTTGTTGAATTGTTAAGTGTAAGGGCCTTATAATATGCATGTGTTTTTCCACTTTGACAGTAAGCCTGAGTATATAGCGTCATACAAAATGGTGAGACTAGGGTGGATGCAAGTAGCGCCTTGCACATTGTGTGGGTAATAGACGTATTCCTGCTTTTTCTCTGGCCAGTAGATTATATTGACGCACATGACATGGTTATCTGTGCATTACACCGACTTTGGAACTTATACATATTGTGTAAACTGCTTTAGAACTTATATTGCACATGTAAGTGAGCTTGGGGTGGAAGATCCTTGAGGACCCCTTGTCTTACTGAGATTTCTTGTTTAGAGATCTCACCCCACGTTTGGGGACGCTTATTTCAGGTTCAGGTAACTCGGGGGTTGAGACCTCGGGCGGTAGGAGACCGGAGCTGAGTTAAATTATGTTGTTATCATGTTATTATGTTGTATGCTGACATGTTGTGGACTTGTTTGCTATTTATGTTTTTTGTCATTTATGATTATTGAGTTGAGACTGTTGTTGGGCTTGAGCCTTATTTGGTGAGCATGAGGTTTGTCCATGCCACTTTGATTTTCGTCTTGTTTAAGCTTATCTGTGTTGTATAAACTATCAGGTTGTCCGGTCTACGTGTTATAGTTTCGTGACTAGAGACATATTTATGATATTAATTAATGAGGTATTTCAGTTAGTTGTCTTTTGCAATATTCATATAGGCGATGTTTTGGAAATGAATTAAGTGATTCAACTTGGTAAGGATAATGATGTCATAATTTAAAATAAAAAGAATATTCCGCATTTTTAATTAAGCGTGGCTTAATACGATGACATGTTAACAAACCGGGTTAACACGAGGTGTTATAGTATTTCTCGATTTTTTTTGTTTTACTGTTTTCTTTCTTCTTTTATTTATTTCGTATAGTTTTTATAAATTTTGTAGGAAAAATGGAATAGCTAATACAAAGTATACGATGAAAATAATTTTTGATTCCAATGTGCCTGAGATCGTAGATTTCAAAAAAAGGTATGCTGCAGTATTTTTTAGGAGGCATTGCTTTTGCTGTATGCACTAATTTTTGGATATATGTTTATATTTTAGGCTTTCGGGTGATCCGATCGAAAGTAGTCAGAGGTTGACTCAGTTGTCCAGCCAATCCTCATATTCTTTTGAAAATGATTTTCTAAAAGATATAGAAAGGAAATTTATTACTGATATTAAGAATTGCAGTGATGTTACTACATGCATTACTTATGGAAGTATTAAATCCATCGAAAGTAAGTACAATTGGTGGTACAAGTTCTGTAAGAAATGTCCATATTCAGTGTGTGAAGATTTTGAGAAATTGTATTGTAAGAACTGTCAGAAACATTGGGATGAATATTATCCGAAGTAAGGAGGGTTTTGTTTGCTGTCATTTTTTTAAAGTTAATCATGCAGGTTCAGTGTTACTGATGTAAATTACAACTTAATCTTTTTAGGTTCAGTGTTCAGGTCAGAGTTGTTGATAACAGCGATTCTGCTTCTTTTGTACTGTTTGATAGAGATTGTCTTGCTTTGTTAGGAGTGAGTGCTGGTGAATTACGCGAGCAACATTTCAAGCGGGTTTGGTTCTTAAAACTTTTAATTTTTATAACAGTGGGGTATTCTACTGCTTGATATTTTGTTTTGTTAAAAATATATGAAAATATACTCTTTTTGTAGGGTGCGGATTTGGAGCATTATCCGGAAGAGTTGAACGTTGTGAAAGATAGATCCATGTTATTTAAAGTGAATGTGAAAATAAGCAATTTGAACGCCTACAGGGAGCCAAAATATCATGTGGCCAAAGTTTGCATCATTGAAAGTATTATCACATCATTTCTAAAGACCACAGCAGATCCAAATGTATGTTGTTTTTTATTTAACATTTCTTCACTTTTTAATTGTCTTTGGACTTTTCATGCGTTTTGACTTTGTTTCATTTACAAAAAAAAAATCAGGATGATTCTGTATTTGACAGTGCTTATGATGACAATATTGTATCGATAGGGTCAGCAAAAGCAATGGTGAGTTAGAATTATTAACATAATTTTTAAATTTGATTACTGTATAATTTTATTCCACAACGTCTGTTAATTACTTATAAAATGGTTTCGTTGACAGGATGTTCAGAGCCAAACCTGTGAGAGTACTGGTGATGCTGATATTTCTCTGTCGACACCTTCTGTAAAGTATAGTGATGTTGTTGAAGACAAAAATAATTGTTCAGTTGTCCGTCCTCTTAAAAAGATTAAGTTGGAGAAAGAGTTAAGTTTTTATTGTTAATTTTACCATTGAACTGTATTTTGGTAGAGGTGTTGGTCTTACAAATTTTATAATTTGATTTTCTCACTCTGTGTCCTCTGTTGTTTATTTTTGCACAGTTTTGATGCTGAAGCTGGTGACACCTTACAGCAGACAGAAAATTTGTAATTGTTCAACATTTGCTAACTATCTCATTGGAACTATGTTTTTGTTTAATTGTTGTATTGATCTATGAACATTTTCCTTATTATATTACCTTTTATCGTGTGTTTAACATTGATCGTGTGTCCACCTTTGTCATTTTTGTTTACGTATTGTTTTGAATATTTTGTTATCAACTTCGTTTCTTAATTTTGCAAAATCTTCCCGTGACTTTAGTAATACATTTTTCAGTGTTAGAGGTAATAAAAAATCAGGACGTGTTACGAAATTTATTTTGTAGTTTCAAATAGTTCTTTGCAGACATCGTTTAATTAAATGTTTGGCACAATTTTCGTTTGGGATGTCGTTTGAAATTCCTAATTATACCAAATTATAATTAACATGTTTTAATATTATTAATGGTGACGTTTTGTATGCAATTCCTTTTACTGCTCCCTTAAATTTTGAATTAGTCTGTTGGAAATTTGAAATTGAAAATTAAATATACCAACACAAACTGTTTGGGTGGGCTACGTTGTTTCATTCAATGAATGGGTTTCCCAAACGTTGCATGTGTTAATCCATTGATGGTTTGTCAGGTTATAAATATACGAAAGTTGGGTTATTTCTTTTTCAGTTGTGTTCCTTAATCATCGTTCTTTTGTGGAATCTTCAAAATCGTTGATTCTTTGCTATAACTTCTGTCAATGGCTGAAGCGTCATATCCAAAACGTGCAAAAATAGGTAAAGACGCAGATGAATCTCTGACAAATTTTCAATCCGACTTGCAATTGGAGATTTTGGGAAAGGTAGCGTCCCATTCTATACAGGACCTTTCCAACGTCAAGGCAACTTGCAAGGAGTTGAAGGATCTAGTAGAAAATGATGTTGTGTATAAACAATGTTCATTGGAGAAATTTGCATGTTCAGCGTTAGACTCGATTTCCAAACACAAACCATTTCGTCATGCTGTAGACAATGTATGTGACAATGAACATGAAGATCAGTACAATGGATTTATATACAATTTGGAATTGTTGCCTACGGAAGCCTATAACAAAGACCGCCAATTAAACTTCTTGAAGCGTTGTAGGGAAAGTGGAAACGTAGAAGTTATGTACCGCGAAGGGATGATTATTGTAAGAACCCGCACCGTTAATTAAGGAAATTAATTAATTAATTATGTGAAATTAGGAAATAATTTCATAATTGACCCTAATAATTATTATGAGGCTCTAATAATTATAGTAAGTGATTAAGAATGCTGAAAGTCGCTTTTCGGAAGAAAAGTGCAGATACCAGTTCTGCTAGTCGGTATAAATGTGTACCGAAAAAGTATCCCGAAAAATTATAATAAGTGCATGATAATTACTATAATAATATGTAAGACTTGTAAAACGAGTTTCAAGTCAAAATAATAAGAACTGGTGCCAGAAACTGGTACTAGCTATGAAAAGCGCGTACCGAAAAGGTGTTACGAAAATTATAAAAAAATATGATAATTCGTGTAAAATTGAGTAGGTTAAGAATCCTGAGTTTGGGATTAAAATGCTAGCGTAGAAATTAAAGTTAATATTGTGTGTTAGTGACTTAACCGCCTATATATAGTGCTTGGAACTAAACCCTAGGCTGATTCTTCAGCCACTCTACGTGAGTTTTTGTGCCTTGGGCTGCTGCCTCCTTCCCCACTTGGTCCTAAGGCTTTCTTCTTCATTTTCTCACCAAAGACACCATCTTTGATCATTGTTTCTCTTCTTGATCAACTAAACACTTGAGTGTGAGCATGGGTGAGTGCTTTAGGTGCCTTTTCTGAGTTTGAGAGGGCTGTGCATGTGAGGGAGAGGGGCTGTTTCTGTGTTGGTTGGTGTGGGAGTGCTTCCTTGGGTTGTTGGAGCTCCAAGGAGCAATCTTTGTGAAGAAAGATCCTTGCTTGGGTGGTATTTTCGTGCACCCTTGAAGTCAGAACCTTTGGAGTTGGTAGTGAGCTCCAAGGACACCCTTTTTGCTGAGTTTAAGCTTTTGGTAAGTTGTACCAACCTTGTTCATGAGTTTAATGGGTTAAAGTTGATGTCTTGGTATGTTTAATGGATTAAACAAGTAACCAACTGTCATATGAATCTAAATGGACCTTAAGATGCATGTTTAAGCTTCTGGAAGTGTTAAAAATGGAACCTTGGAAGGATATCTTCGCGAAAATGCAAACTGCATTCTGTCGCGAAATATCCAGATATATCTCTGGAAATATCCGGATATTGGATATCCGGATATGTCTCCGAAGAATATCCGGATATGTGATATCCAGATATGCCCCCGAGGAATATCCGGATATTCTGGGTTTGCGAGGAACAGTAGCGTACTGTTCATCCAGAACTGATGTTTGGGGGTTTATGGACCCTAGATTGATGAAGTTGAACTTCTCTAATTACTTAACTAAGTCAGAATCAATGGATTAAGGGCTTATGGCTTTGTGGGAAGCCTTAAGACGTAAAATGTAAGAAAGACGTTGTCTTTATGATGTATGCTTGTAGTGCATGTTTATTGATTTATTATTGGTCCATATCAGATTGTGATCTGCTGTGTGTTGGACTTGAGCTGTGGACTCTTGGCTTTGGGTGTTAGCTTGTAAGGTAAGCTTTCGTGTCCTCGGTTTAGCCATATTGTGGTTCCACCATGTCCCATGGGGGTATGGTTATATGCATGATGTGTTACATGCTTTGAACATTTGAAATGTTGTTGAGCTTTATGTGTAATGGCTTTTAATATGCATGTGTTGTTCCATCTTGATGGTAAGCCTGAGTATATGGCGTCATACAAGACGGTGATCCGGGGTGGATGTAAGTGGCGTCTTGCACTATGTGTGGGTATTAGACGTATATAAATCCTGCATTTCTCTGGCCAGTAGAATAGAATTGACACACATGACATGATTATCTGCTGCATTGCACTATTTTAGAACTGATGATGATAAATGCTTTTGAACTTATATTGCATATGTAAGTGAGCTTGGGGTGGAAGATCCTTGAGGACCCCTTGCCTTACTGAGATTTCTTGTTTAGAGATCTCACCCCACGTTTGAGGAATGCTTATTTCAGGTTCAGGTGGTATGGGACTGATGTCTCTGGTGGCAGGAGGCCAGAGCTTAGTTGATGTTTTGTGCTATTCATATTATGCTGGCATGACTGGATTGGATGCTGTTTTTGTTTTCCGCCCTTATCTTTATGTTGCTGCCCTTATCTTTATGTTGTTGTTGAGTTGAGACTTATGTTGGGCTTCGTTGCCTTATTTGGGTGAGCATGGGAGTTGTCCATGCCACTATGTTGTTATTACTTTTGAGTTGAGTTGTATAAACTGATAGTTGGTCCGGTCTACGTGTTGTAGTTCCGTGACTAGAGACATACTTATGTTATTTTAATTAATGAGGTATTTCAGTTAGCTATTTTATTGCAATTGCATACAGGCGATGTTTTATTAATTAATTAATAAGCAAGTTGGTAATGATAATGACTTCATAGTTGAAAAGAAAAAGATATTCCACATTTTTAATTAAGCGCAGCTTAATACGATACTATGATAACATTACCGGATATATACGGGGTGTTACAATTAAATATTTCCAACAAAATTGTTGTTCTTTAAGGGAAAATTTGGGTTTAACGTATTTGAAAATTGCTGCACAGAATGGTCACATCGATGCCAAGTACGTCTATTCCATGCTTTTGATGGTTGGTGATAGTCAAGAGCAACGAGACATTGGATTAGATATGTTTTGTTCTGTGAAAAGGGCCATCAATGTTGATCAGTGCAAGAAGCAAGTAAGGGCTTTTTTACGGCACATGTGGGTGCGTAGAAGAGTGGTTCCACATCAGTCCTTTTCATGGTGCAATTCTACGATTTGCAAGCAGAAAAGTGTATGCGATGGTTGTGGTGAAGGAGATACATGTCAGTATTGTAGTGCCGATTATGAATTACAAGAATTTATTAATGTCCAGGCTTTGTGGTCAAGTGGATTAATACTGTAATGTTTTTATGGTTTATTGTGTTCATGGTTTTGTTTATGTTATTGTTTGTAATATTTTCCATTACTTCTCCATATGATATGTCAGTGTATTATCTTTTGTTGACGTTTAGAGTTTTTCTGGGTGTTCAAATTTCTTCTGTTTTATTTATCGTTAAAAATACGAAATGGTAGTTCCAAGATTCTGTTGTATCAATGTCGTATCAATACTTGCCCGTTCACATACAGTTACTTTTGAGGTGTTGACCTGTTCGTTTTTCGCATGCAATTGTTGAAGTATGTGCAAATGCCGGCTATGCTGATGAAGAGTGTTTCAGTTTCTAACACTTCATCATTATTGTAGTGTAACAGTATTAATTATTGCATTGGAAACTAAAGACCATGATTAATACTCTTTACGTTCACGTCGAATGAGATTCTTATTAATGATGGTGACACATTGGTTTACGAAAGGTCGTTTGTTCTTTAAAACACTAATAAATTGCACAGCTAATAATATAATTTTGCATACCGTGTCTGCCACGTATAACAAGATACTGAATACGAAGAGTTTGTAAATTTTGGTAATTGTAAGCTCTTTAATAACAGTGCCAACTAATTTAATGGAATTTGTGTCATCAATGCGAGTTCTGAAACAATACAAATAAAAAATGTTGGCATACATGTTCTTAAAGAGCAAACCATTTGTTATTCAGCCAAATCCAACAAAAGAATAGTTGACGTCAAAAATCTTCCAATTGATTTGTTATTGTGAATTTTTGCTAAAGTGGCGTCACATTCGATTCAGGATATCAGCAACGTCAGACTATGCTGCAAGGATTTTCTACGAATTGCAGAGCATAATTTGGTGTATAAGAATTCTTCCTTAGAGAGGTTTGCAATCTGTGGACTGGAATGGATTAGTCATAATAAACCCTTTTGGCATGTTGTTGAAGTAGAAAGTCATAATGATGCAGAATTTTCACAGACCACCAAAGTGTGTGGTTTTGAATTCTTCGAGTTTGAACTGTGT